TGTGATAAAAATAAATAAATGAACAAATAAATCAATCAATATATGAGAGGAAAGTAGTGTAATATTTTCTTTAAAAAAAATATATACAAATGATTTACTTTATTCCATAACGGACACTCGCCACGGGGGGGGGGGGCACTCCAGGCAAGGCCACTAGGCTTGGGCCAGGATAAAGCCAGCCTAACACGGCGGGTCCTGATCAGCAACCTTACCTTTTCCTTATCGCATTCTAGTTCCCTCTGCTTAAATGATTATTTATGTATTTACAAGGTACCTGGCCATGCAAAATAATCAAGCCAAACACAAAAAAGTAGATTATTAACGAGGGAATAAAAAAAATAAAAATGAGAATTATCTTAAAAATGGGGCGATTTATTATTCCTAATAAATTAAAATAGGTACTTGTTTCCTTAATAAGCTATAAGATAAACTATAAACCAGATCTGGACTAACTTAAAAAAATTAAAACTTAATAATCTAAATTAACAATAATAAATCGTTAAAACTAAAAGAAACAAAAATTCCTTCTTCATGCAGTCTTTTCCGTAAACCAACAATTTTACTTGGGAATCGTTGAACCAGCCACAACCATCCGCCGAGTCCTCCTGGGTTCCAGTCCTGCCGAAATCCTCTCCAAATAAAAGAGAAAATCTCCCGAGAATCGGGGCCGCTTCTATATCCTTTCAGAAAACTACGAACGGACAGTCATCGCTCGTAGCCGTGGTCTGGTGAGGACGGCGCCCGGTAGAAATTCCAAAAATGGACATACCCACGTAGAAAAATCCGGAAGAGCCGTTTTCCGGACAATCTCCAGTTGCCAACTCGTAGGTATTTACCGCACTGTTTTCCTCGGCGACCTCTGGCTCGGTCCAAGCGATCGCGTTATCGCTTAATCCCCGGCACTAAATACACACTCTTAATAATAACATTCATTGTTGATTTTCACCAATTTCCTACGTACACTGGTTTTTTAATTAATAATAAAAAATTATACATCTTATAACCAGGTTACATACCTCCTTACAAGAAAAGGAAGCTGATCGAGGGGAGAAAATAAAATTTGATTTTGGGCAAAAAAAAACCACTTTCCTCTCTTACAATAATGATATTGTAAAAACCTAATTTTTTTGTCACAGTTTCTTCTAGAATGTTTTGCCTGATGAAGGTTACAGAAAGTTCGAAACGCGCCAGAAATATAAAAAAAGCATGAAATCCTGAATTGTTCATTCTCTGGCCGCTTCCCTGTCAAATTCTCCAATGATGTATCCGTTATCTGGCCGACAAGAAGCACCAAATATTCAGATTCGTTTTTAGACTTTTAAATTTACCTAAAGCAATTTTACCTTACATTTGGACAAATGCTACATGCTCTTTCCAATTACTGTTTTTGCAAATATTAATAATCCCCTAACATGTCAAATTACTAGGTGGTAAAGACAATTCAAAATTAAGCGGCAATCGCTGAAGTGTTTTTTTTCTTCCAGAGCGGTTCAACGCTCGCTCAGTAAAACGAATCGACTCTTTTGATCAACTCACAAGCACCCCTTTCAATACGTGTTGTGGAGGTTTTCCGGCAGATCCAGGTTTTCAAACTTGATTACTGCATGAAATGGAATTATAGTATTGTTTGTTCCCTTGAAGAAAGAAAAAACTAAATGATGTGCAGGTTAGGCAATCCGGGAAGCTTGCCAAATTGGCAGAATCAGGAGGAAGGTACGGTAGAAGAAGACTCTGAACCAAAGGGCAAATTACTTCCTGAACGCAATTTTAAGCCAAAGATTAAATGGAACTATAGACTAACCAAAAAACAGAGCTGTCATATTTGCGTATTTTCAGACAATAACTAAAATACAACCAAAACTTGAAAACAATGTTTTAGTTCATTTATTTTCAGGTACAATTGAAAATTCATTATGTACAACCAGAAGATTGGATTTCAATTTATGAGTTTGACATTACGGGCGTTATAGAGAAAGCGACCTGTTGGCAGCCGCTTTGGATTAACAATATAGTATTAATCATTCAAAATGTATCTTATCAATATTCTTTCCAGTCGCCTACGTGGTAATTGCGTCATAGCGTAATCGTATTTGGGTGTTAGTGTGATCTAAAACTTGAAAAATAAAATCAATGATTGTTGAAAAATAAACTGAAAAAACTCACATGTTTTAGCTGTGTAGTTCGAAATACTCCTTAAAAAATTCTCGTTGAAAATTTCTCTTTGCAGATGGATTTATTTGTGTCGCACCATTACCTAAAAATAAATTCTACAAAGTCTTAATTTTTGTACTCAACTATTCGCCATTGAAATTAAATGTACTGGAAGATTGTCAGAGGGTGAAAAGCACATGTGTTCCAGCAGGTCCAGTCTTCTAAACTCGAATAAACTGTATTTTCCATTGTTTGTTCGCTTGAAGGATGAACCTGTTCCCACTCTCTCTCTCTTTCTCTCTNCTCTCTCTCTCTCTCTCTCTCTCTCTCTCTCTCTCTCTCTCTCTCTCTCTCTCTTCAGAATCACACCACTTGCTTTCGAAATTATTCGTAATGGGCTGCCAATCATACTTGATATAACAATTTTCCAGAGTGGTGGGAATAGTATTTTTTATTTTATGACCTTGTGTGTCCACATTAGCCATGGGAGTGTTAATAGTTCATACGTCTATTTTTAATATATGTTTATGCAGTGTTTCGTCCTACACCGCAAGCTTCGTTCACACTAGATTAGTGGCAAAGCATTATAGGTTAATTAACTGCAAGTTCAAAATAACTAGAGTACAAATAATGGAGGGTAAAACATTAAATTTCGAGTAAATGTAAAACTTGTATAAATTTAAGGTGAAGAAGGAAGAATAAATTAACATATAGTTATTCAAGTAATAAGTATAAATGAAATACATAAAAATAATGAAGTAAACAAACGACAAATTTAAAGAAATGAAAACCCAAAATAAAAATCTTTTAAATAAGTACGTCTAATGTAAACATAAATGTACATACTAACAAAACTTGTGAAATACAGACAGATTACACATTTTGTATATTAATTAGATAACTGTAAGAAAATAAAAATGCTGACATCCTTTTGCGTTGATATGAAACGACGAAAACTAATATCAAAGCTACAAAACTACTTCGACGATAAAGTAAAATATTTTAAATTCGTTTTCTTCAGTGTCTAATCCCCACCCAACAGTATTGCAGACATACAATTAACAACCCATTGTTTTCTCCAATTACTGCTCGTCGTTGCTACGAGTGCTTAATTCGGACGAACAAACGGGGTTGTTAACGAAAAATTACGAATTATGTGACGTTTAAGTAGCTTTGAGAACAAAAATTTACACTAATAAGCGAAGAGATCAAAATGCATTGCTTTTTACGAATAACGATTTTTCTAACGGGGACTGGTTATTCACTACATCTGTCCGACCGCCTGCTCACATTTGGTGCTCTAGTATATTGGCCATAAACACTGCATAAGGAGTTACAAAACAAACTTCAAAGTGTACAACACGTGCTAACATTGGCTGTAACGGTATGTGTCCAAATGAGGGGAACGAAACAGACCCTTCCAAGTGGTCATGATAATAGAGATCTTGGGGGGGTCTGTGGCCGAAACGGTAAAGCCCTGAAAATACCGGCAACCCGAGGGTTCATATAACCTAGTACTTGCAGTTTACGCAAACAAAATAGAGAGAAAGAGAGAGTGAGAGAGATAGGAGAGCGAAAGAGAGTGAGAAGAGAGAGAGAGTGAGAGAGAGAGAGAGAGAGAGAGAGAGAGAGAGAGATAGAGAGGAGCTTCCAAGTTTCATTCAGCACAAATATGGATCAAAGATGGAACGGGGGCCAAGCGAAACTTCGCAGATTGGCTCCAAATATTTTCCCAGCTGAGATTCATAAAATATTCTGTGCACAGGAATTGTTAAGAACAAAGCGAAAGGTGCGCGGATATAGATACGTTAGGGTATTTAGGCAGCTATAATGGTAAGGCAAATGATTTTATCTTTAACTAGTCTTGGCTTGCCTACATTTTTTAACGGTCCTAGAAGAGCAACAAGGTTATCTTGATATGAGTTTCGGCAAATGAAGGCATAGAATAAAACGATCAAGCTGACCAGCTAGACATAGAAGTGACAGCCTTCTTGTTCATGGAATAGGGACAACAACTAGGTTAACTGGTGATTGATAAAATTTGAGCTGAAAAAAAATCTCAAGCACTGGACCAAAACACCACCAATGATTCAACTTAAAAAATTCATTAATCTTTGAAATTGAAATTCAATAGAACTTCTACTCTCATCTCTTTTTTGCAGGCAAGATTTAAGGAAAATTATTGGCCTCTATAAAAGCCAATGCTCTTTTGGTAACATAGGAGTAGAGACAAGCTTCGGTCAAAAGAAATCAGAGTCATCGACGCGCGCGCACATACACACGCAAAGAGAGAGATGTATGGATGTATACATATACATATATATTTTAGAAATGCAAATTTTTTTAGCCTTTTAAGTCACAGACCTGCGCAGTCTCATTTGTTAGAAAAGTATACACTGAAAAATATGGTTTTTTAAATATTTGCCTAGTTTCAGTTAATTCCGGAACATGTTAATTTTTGCACTTTTTACGAAAACTTAAAATTGAGCCAAAATTGAGGTTTAAAATTTCCAGGATTTCGTCCTGGAGCGTCGCCATAAATCAACCGGTAGGAAATTTTAAGAAGCTTTCAATTGGTCATCGCTTTACCAGATTTATCAACCGTTTTCGAGTTATTCGCGATTTTTGGGCAAAAACGATGTTTTTTTACATGCTATTGGAAAAACCGATCACTCTCTCCTGATTATCAAGAAAGTATAAATTTTTAACCTCATGTTTTCCCAAATTTCTCGCTCTATAACTTTTGTTCTAGGAACCTTTTCAAAAACCTTCACAGGGAAACAACAATTCTTACGTTTTCTTACTACGACCGTTTGTGATGCGGAATGCTTTTGCTGTCGATAACCACAATGGAAGTGCACGAAGAGGCACCAAGTAAAGTACTTTTCACGCTTCATTTTTTAGAATGCTCTCTACATAAGTCACGAGAGCCAACACAGAACATAACACGAATAATTCTTTGTTAAATTGGAACAAATTTAAGTATGATCTACTTCCTTAAAAATCGGCCTTTAATTGAGGATAAGCTGGAAACAACTCGTAAAAACACTCGGATTACATTGGATTCCCTAAGAATATTTATAGGAAATGTCGGTCGAGTTTAGATTGTAATATGTACTTCCCACGTTAACTTGCTGTCAAGGATAGCGCACAAAAATTGTGGGACTGGGTTCAATAAAGAGTCGTTATCTGCAATGATATCAGCCGACGACAAAACAAAGGAATCGCTAAAAAATGAGAGCTACTGTTTTCTTTATATTATGACTCTTCTCCGAAACCCAAGCAACGACTTCATCCATTTTGTGCTTAATTTTCAGCCATTACTCATCTGAAGTTCTCCCAGCAGTCCACAAATAGATAAAAATGTGTACACCCGGCGCTCTCTACGAAATCATTAATTCATATTGAAAATGAAAAAGTGCCTGTCTCAGACCACTAACGAAGGATTTTTTTTATACAAAAAAATCTTCCAAAAATAAAAAATAAGAAATAACAAAATAAATCTTTATATCCATTCCAAAAGTTCATAACCCTGCCTCCCGACGCCGCCTCCTTGTGACAACCGAAAGTATTTCTTAGGTGACAGGCCAATATGGAACCCTGTTGCACTCCATATTTTATTGAGATCTCGGAAGATCTCGGAAATTTTCTGGTGCCACTTTGTTCTCATGCTCCCAGATATCTGGCAATGTAAAATCATTTCATTGTTTATTCAGAGTGGATCATTTTTTAAATTTTTATCGTGAAATTATCACTGATGAATTTTGGGGATTCATCTTTTTCTCGTTTCACTCTTTTATGTCTCTAACACTTAATTCGCCACCGAGTATGTATACTGTGTTGAGCGCTAGTGTAATGGCCGTCTGCGAACATGGCTGTGGTCAAACCTAAGCTAACATCGATTTGTGAGCGGCCGTGATATGCTTGCACTCTACATGAAATGTTCTATCGATGAACAGTGTTTAACGACTTAATTAATCGATATTACTTGTCAAGAACTAACGGTTTAACTTAGAATAGTTGGCCGGAGTGAAAAACTCGACCATTGCCTTTTGGGTGTCATTAAATAGAAAAAAATTTCTCGGTTTTATTAATGCATCCCATATTTCATTGCAACAAGTTTCTATTCATGTTGTGGCATTCGAAAGTTACTCAAGAAAAATAGGTACAATAAGTCTTAAATTCTGTAATCTTTCCGAGTGGTCAAGCAAGGAAGAGCAGATGACACATCCTAGGGGTTCTTATACAAAGATCGTAATGATTTTCCCATTTTGAAAAGTGATATGAAGATATTTTACGGATATTTTTATTATAAAAATTAGTAATTAATACAGGAGACCGTGGTGGCCGAGTGGTTAGGGTGTCTGAATCGTATTTCCCACGCTAGCAGTCGTGGGTTCGAAGTTGCTAACAGTTGTTAAATTGAATTAGTATAAAAAATGCGAGCGAATTCAATAAATTTAATAGTAATAGTATTTTAATTGTTTAACAAAAAAATACTGCGTTGTTTTAATAATACAATTTCACGAACATATAAATAACGATGCTTTTTTTTCAGGCAGTTGCGGATATTCTGCTGGGTGTTTTCTGCATGCCCTTCACGCTGATTGGACAGCTGTTGAGGAATTTCGTGTTCGGGTCTTTCATGTGCAAGCTTATACCTTACTGCCAAGGTAAGTTCACTTTTAGCAAGATTGTAGAGGTTCCATTAGGTCCCTTTTTTCGCTACTTTTTCCATTAGGCAATTTTTAACGAGTGCGTCTGGTGTAAAAGGGGGAAAAGACACCGGAGGAAAAAAAATGAAATAAAAGGCATTGGGAAATTTTCCGCCATACCTTTCTGACTTTTTCCTGTCAGAATATTTATGCGCCTCAACGCGAAATGGACATAAAACACCGCATCAATTTCGAGACACATAATTTTTACAAAAAGAAAATTTCTTCTTTGTGAACTTATTGTTGAATCCAAAGATAATTATTTGGCGGCGCAAAAAAACAATTTAAGGTTTAGAAAAAAAGTTTATTTATTGTTTGTCAAGAACTAAAGTTTAAAGGAAAATTCACTACTTTCGTTGTCCGCTTGACCAATTAATACATGACAATTAATTAAGGCTTTTAGTTGAGATGAAAAAAGTTAATGGTACGAGAGGGATTCGAACCCACGACCTTCGGCTAACAATCTTCTCTTTAAACTCTCATACCTGGGACATATATTTAAATAATTTTTTCTTTAAATGACAATTAATTAAGGTTTTTAGTTGAGATGAAAAAAAACAAACGTTTTTCTAAAACCGACGTCATACCAGACCGCATCTCACGATCTCCAAATAATCGTTAACTAACGGTCACTAAACACAACACAAATGTTTAAATGGTGTAGTTCAAAGAACATATAAACAATCTTCTCTTTACACTCTCCAACCTGGGACATATATTTAAATAATTTTTTCTTTAAATGACAATTAATTAAGGTTTTTAGTTGAGATGAAAAAAGTTAATGGTACGAGAGGGATTCGACCCACGACCTTCGGCTAGATACGCCGCTGCTCTACCACCTGAGCTATCGTGACCTCGATCCACTCGGACATCAACTCCCCATCTCAACCCACCCTATGAGTTTTCCCTCCTTTTGCCATTTTTCCGAGTGGATCGAGGTCACGATAGCTAAGGTGGTAGAGCAGCGGCGTATCTAGCCGAAGGTCGTGGGTTCGAATCCCTCTCGTGCCATTAACTTTTTTTCATCTCAACTAAAAACCTTAATTAAATGTCATTTAAAGAAAAAATTATTTAAATATATGTCCCAGGTTGGAGAGTTTAAAGAGAAGATTGTTTATATGTTCTTTGAACTACACATTTAAACATTTGTGTTGTGTTTAGTGACCGTTAGTTAACGATTATTTGGAGATCGTGAGATGCGGTCTGGTATGACGTCGGTTTTAGAAAAACGTTTTCTTTATCGTGCCAACGTTTCGATCTTTATTGAGATCATCTTCAGGGCTCAAAATGTTTGTTTTTTGTGTACATGTGTCATTATTGTGTGTCGTGTTGAGAGTGCCCTGTTCCTCGTTCTTCTTGTGTAGAAATGTGTAGTGTTTAGTGACCATTAGTTAATGATTATTTGGAGATGGCGAGATGCGGTTTGTGTGAAGTAGGTTTTAGAAAAATAATTTTCTTTATCGTGCCAAAGTTTCGATCTTTATTGAGATCATCTTCAGGGCCTGGGGTTTACAAAGATTGGTTAGATTTTACAAATACATGTAGGAATTGGAAAAAAATGAATTTATACAATGCTAGAAAATTTTAGTTTCACTCAGTGTTTGTTTTTTGTGTAAATGTGTGTAGATTCATGTGTGTCGTGTTGAGAGGGCCAGTAAGATATTGATGTTTTATGTTTATATACGTTGGATTTTGAAGGGGTGGGAAAGGAAGTTGGCATTTTTTATATGAGAAGTCGGCCTCTTTGAGGTAGAAGGAGCCGACAATGGGAAAGAATGGAAGAAGAATCTACTCAGAAAACAAACACTTTGTGTGTGTATTAATACTATGATTGAATCTAAAATTTCTAGCATTGTATTAATTCATATTTTTCACATCCTACAAGTAGTTGTAAAATTTAATCAATCTTTATAAATCTCAGGCCCTGAAGATGATCTCAATAAAGATCAAAACGTTGGCACGATAAAGAAAATGCTTTTCTAAAGCCTACGTCACACCAGACCGCATTTCACGATCACCAAATAATCATATAAACATACTTCTTTCAAAATTGTTTAAATGAGAACAATATTTTTACTTTCGCAAATAACAAATTTCAAAAACAAAGTCATTTTTGTAATTTATACTACTGGAAATAATAATAGAAAAAATTATGCTATGTATTTTTTTATATTTTGCTTTAAGCGCTTATTTATGCGTTTAAGTAAATTTGTTGACAGTTTGTAAGTAAATAAAAAAATTATTTTTATAAAAAAAAAATTATAAACCGGAACTATTCATTGGCTCAATCTTAGGTGTTAGCGTTAATCACCCACACTGTCGATCAGCAGATCCCGTTGTTTCAATCGTCCGCGATGGTTATCTAGAATGATGCTTCATCCGGACAAAATAATCATTTGTTCAATTATTTGAGGCTGTTTTTGGTTCACTGCAAAGATATATTGAATATTAAGATCGGTGTCATATAGTAAGAGTGGATACATTGAAATTACATGGATAATGGTTCGGAGGATCGGATTGTAAGGGCAATACATTGGAGGTATAAACGTTTGGTTGAACCCAAAGTTCAATGCCGTATTTAACAATTTTTAATAAATCTGAAGCGTCTCTTGAGTTCTTATATTTTCAATCGCGTTTGTGGGTCTAAGTAAGTCAATGTGTCATGTTCTATGTGTCAACGTGGTGGCCGAATAAAGGTGGTGGAAGAGAGATACTATTGTAATACAGGGAAACAGACGTTAATATTCAAAGGGTGAAAGTGATATGTTGAGATTTTGTGCACTTATTTTACTTATCAACTGCTTGAAACACTGCTCAAAGATGGATGAGACCATGCCGGATTACAGTTTTCTGGTTGATATGAGGCTATGTTTATAACAGGAAAATATAGCGGTGAGTTTGCGATGGACTGACCGATTGACAATGAAGGTTAAGTGAGATTTTACGATCAGGTAGTAAGTAGGTCAAATGGACGATTTTCTTAAGTTTTCAGAGCAGCCTCGAGTGTTATACCCGAATGAAGGCTTTCTTCCCATCTAGGATTATCCAACAACAGCATACCTTGAAAAGAGGTATTATATATTAAACAGGGTGGGCGACCAAGACCCGAAGGGTTAAATGCCTGGTTAGACTTGTACCCCATCCCTAGAAGGTCCCGAACTTGGTCGGCTCACGTGTCCTGTATAAATCTCTTTGACCTGTTCACAAACCCCAAGATTTTGGACCATTTTATCTTGGGGAGAGATATGGTACTGTCCGCTCCTTCAAAGATTTCAAATCTGGACCTAGCATACCTATCACACTCTGCGAGGTAGTGCCTTGCCGTTTCTTCTTTTATTTCGCAAAAACGGCAAAAGGGATCTGGTAGAGCAAAAGAGGTATGACACCATGGATGGTGGTCAAGTATAAGTTTGCAAAAACGAAGAATTGGTATAATGGGCTGAAGCGTGAATTTTTATAAGATTTCGCCCATGAAATGCAATCAATTACCCGGTAAGATGTTGAAATGAAAAATGACATTTTTTTTAGGCATTGGTATCATCATGGGGATAAATGTCGATTGGGAAGAAAAGTACGTGGCTCTAAAAACAGAACTGTAAATGTAAGTATGAAAAAGTACCGTTTTAAAGTACTTTTTAGTTATAGATATCGAAGGATTTTTACAGTGAGTGGATGAAAACCAAGAACATTCTTTGGGAGTAGAGGCTCATGACATGAAATACATCATTAGGATAAATGATTAAGGTAGATGGGAGAGAGGTCTTGTTCAATATTGAAGTCTGCATGCCTAATTTAATTTTGATTATACAATATTTGTGGTGCTTAATCACTTAGAATATACGGTTATTGTGCTTTGACAAATTTGAAATTTTTAATTTAAAAATTTGTGTTTTTTTACAATTCTTTCTGTTCCCAGAATTGGAATTTGTTTGTATATATGCCAATTGAAGACACCCAAAACGTGTATTCAAGAGCATTGTAATAATCTAAAATTGATCACAACATTAACCTGAATTAATAATTTCTAAAATAAAACTCTTTGTTATCCCCACGGACAATGCCGGGTAATAGACCTAGTTAGTTATAATTTCTAACTCCTGATGAAAGGGAAATATAGCTCGAATGGTTACAATTATATTAGACGTGTGCCTCAGGGCCAGCATATCGATCTCGGTCCCAACGCTCAAAACAGGTGAGGTCGGCTAAATCACTCCTCTCCGAAGCGATTTTGTTGGGTCCATTGTTTAAGCCAAAGGTCATTCGAATATCCTTCCAAAATCTTGTTTGTCCTGCAGTATTCTAGCGTACAGTTTCAGTCCATATAGTGCAAGTGCGATATTGCAATTTCATCCCGGGTCCTCCACATGTTTATAAGAATTTTGGTGACCCAGAGGAACCACCACAGACGGCCCTATCCAGGGCCTCATCACCACCCAACTCTCGCCTATCCGCCCCGGTCGGTTCGTTATATGTAGAGAGTCCACATCCACCGGGAGTGGAGGAATGAGGATATATCCAAAGAAGGAAGAGAGAGGGGTAGAGATTGCGAGTAGAGCTTATCAGTGCACAGAAAGCGGCAGAAAATAATCGAGTTTTCAAGTATATAACTACTTAAATTTACGATAGCATGTTTTATATAATTATTTTTTGTTGATCTTAAAAAAAACTAATATTAACAATGTGTGGAGATTAGTGACCGTTAGTCGATATTTATTTAGAAATCGTGAGATGCGGTCTGGCGTGATGTAGGTTTCAGAAAAACATTTTCTTTATCGTGCCAACGTTTCGATCTTTATTGGGATCATCTTCAGAACCTGGGATTTACAAACATTGTTTACATATAACAATTACATTTTGGATGTGGAAAAGTGAATTTATACAATGCAAAATATATTTTGCACACTTTGAGTGAGTAGAAATACTTTGATTGAATATATAAAAAATATATTTTGCATTGT